ACAAGGCAGGGCTTCATGTTTTCTAGAGTTTATTTGAGCATGCGCTCTTTCTCTCTCGTCTACCCTCTTTTCTCCACTGCCTCCCTAAACCCTCTACCACATCTAATATTGAGTTTGTACAGCAGAATGCTTGAACTTCAAGGGGGATAATTTAAAATTAGAAGACCGAGGTAAAGAATTATTTTTCACAAGCCTTCTTAAGATTTTTCTGTAAGAATATTTTTTTATAGAATTATTAACAGGCTGTCATTTAAACAATGATAAACAACGCACGCTATTGCGGGTGTTGGTGAAATTTCTATCATAACTCTTTATGGACTGGAAATGCAAATCGATTTCTTATTCCCCAATGTGCCACTTTTGCATTTTCCTGCCTCCCAACCTCTCTCTCTCTCACTCATTAATGATTTGCTTGTATAGTTCCATCTCTTTCACACGTTTTCTGGGGCGGATCTCTCAGATGCCGAGCTAGCAAAGTAAGAAGACAGCCATGTTGCTTTTGCAAGCATCATCCCCTCCCACCCTTCCTTCACCACCACCTGACATCCCGCCACCCCTCATTCTCTGAGCTGTGTATCTCCCGTTTTATTCCTACCCCCCTTGCAGTAAAATAATTCTGTATTATCTGAAAGAAATCATCACTTCCGTCAAATATTTACTTAAAAAATACTTTTTGTTCCCGTTGAAAATAAGCGAAAAGTTTTGCACTTCGCATTCCGCAAAAAAATGAACTTTTAAAAACCAATTTTGCTCCCAACTGAGTTTCTCCCTGTTTTCCCACACACTTTGATATTTAAAAACGGAATAAAAAGTTTTTTCCTCTCTTTTTGGTTGTATTTTTCACTCGAGTGATGTGAAATCTTTCTGGCGGTAAAAATTAACCGCTCTCACGTTATGAGGCAGAATTTTCTAAAGGCTCACGTTTAAAATGTTTCCATACAAAACTTATTAATCGAGGCCACATAATTAATAAAGTTTACCACCTTGAAATTAAAAGAAAGTTATGAAATGTTGTTCTGTCTCACAACGTATTTAATAGAATAAATTCTCCAAGCGGAAATTAAAATTATGCTTGTTAAACATTGCATACAAGCATAAAAACAGATCTTTATGTAGGCCAATCATGTTGATTACTCCCAGTGCGTCCTTTTTTCCTTCCACTTAAAGAAATGAAGGTTAATATGTTCTTGAAGGCTTTGCCTAGCAGCAAGTTTTGTGAAATTATTCTCCGATGGAGGGATCGAGAAACAAGACCTATTTTCACAAAATGTACTTCCAACATTTTAACTACAACTTCACATGTCCAGTTGCCAACTGCCATTGTTTTACTAGTCTATTTTCTGTGTCCTGTTAGTTCGTCTGCAAAATGCAATAAAAGTGTCTGTTACAAAGTTTCAGGATTGCTTTACAGTAACTTTGACATAAAAAAATCCGTTGTTGTATCTCAGCTTTAAATCTTTATTAATTATTATTAAATATGATCAGCTATAAGTTTGAAGATTTCTAATAATGCGTTACGAAGTGTAGAATTCGTCTTTTGGACTTAATCTATCGTTTGATTACAAAATTACGACGTTTCTAAAGCTTGATTCTGCTTTCGTCATCAGGAAAAAATGGAGGAGATGAGGACAGGAAACCTATCTGTTCTGACCCATGGATGAGCTAGCCTCAGATCAGGTCGTATCTTTTTAACTTAGACGATGGACAATGTCCAATACAATTTTAGACGTGACCAGCTATGTTAAAGTCTGCTTGTATGATGTTTGTAATCGACAGCCTATTACAGAAGGTTCGTAATCTAGCCAACAGGACTTAAAAATAGTGTCGTATACTTGACACAAGGAGCGGTTCGTGATACTGGTTCAACCGACTTAATTACTGCCAGTCGGTTGGTGTATTCGTCAAAATGAAGAGAGCGCAAGTCTAGATTTGGCATTCTAGAACAGTTTTAGATAGAATTAAAGAAGTATGTAGGTGAACGCAAATTAAAATATAGTCTTAGCTTTATTTTAAATCATGACAAAGATTTCTAAATGATACATTTTATAAATTTTTAAATAGGTAGCTGTGCCAGCTTTGTAATTTGGAAGTAAAGCTCGGATAATTAAAGCAAGAGACATAAACAAAATATGGTCTTTGGAGATGAGATACTTAACAGTTAAAGTCTGTAACAGACTAAACCGTAGTAAAATAAACTAAAGTACAGTTCGTGCAAAATATAACGGATACGGACAAAGTTGGGTAAGTCGTTTCGAATGATTGGTTGGAGATGTTGGTACTTTTCCGCCCTGAACATAGAGGAAGTTTGTTCCTCCGAAACGTTAGTACCCACCTGCAAATCTACCCGGCATTACAACCCAGACCACCACGAAATTAGCTTTATTTGCTATTTAAATAAGTGGAACAATTTTGTTATGCGTAAGACGGGATTAACGTAAGCTATTCGTACACAACTTTATTGCGAGGAATTTTGTGGAAGTAAATAAAAAAACGTCATACTTGATACATATATTTACAGCTAAGCTGTGATACTGAAATTAATTAAAAGGCTCTCATAACGCATTATTATATTAATGTATTAATTGTTTTGGTATAACTAGTTTTTACGTCATACAAAATACGTCAAAGACTTTTGAACTTCTGAACAGTACCTCCCCACAAATTCGAAATGAAGTAAGCGCATTGATGATTTGACGTGTTAACTACCGTTAATTTAAAACATTGTCCCAAAATTGGTAAAATATTGTAACTATATCTAAAAGAAAATTTGAACCTTTTATTTCAAATGGTGAGAAATACGAAAATAATTTTTGTGTGGGTTTATGTTCCATAAATATGTCGTATCTAGACGCCAAACTGCGTAATGAAGCATGCCTGACACCCGTGGATAGTCTCCATGTCAGCTACTACTTTCAGATATTTGGACCAACCCTTATTTTGCTAGGGGTAATTACACAGGCACAGACGTGGGAGGGTGTAGAAAGTGGGGGAGAGGAAAGACGTCGCGCAAATGGGCGGAGCTGCTTTCCCTTCGCATCTTTCCACCCCTTTCTATATTGGACTTCTCTTTTAGAGGAAATTTCTTTCCTTTACAGAATCCCCCTCCTCCAACAACCTCGTGCTTCGAAGGTCTTCTTCTTCTTCTTCTTCCCCTGAAGCAATGAGACGTGGAAGAAAGATGGCTATGGCTTTACCAAAAGGGGAAGAATTAATGGCAAATAATTAAATATTTATTCATGGAAGGGATAGTTTACAGTTGACTGTAATTAGTTGACTTGAGAACCCGGTTCGTCAGTAATTGATGTATTAGTGCTGCCCGGCGTACACGCCCGGGGAAGAAAATTGGTTTCAAGAAACATACAATTTTGATCCTCTGTTTATGTTCGGGAACGAAATCCTTTGTGTTAACAAGTAATTTAAAGTTTCCGGAAGCGGTAAATGAAGAGATTAACGTTTCATATCGGCAAATAGCAACAGCGAAGTCTTCAAAACCGGATACCACATCTTCTTTATGTAAGGAAAATTGAAAATGAATTCAATTAAACTTTGTTAATTTAAAGTTTGCTATCGATTGCTATTGCCACAATTCTGTCATAGTAACGTATTTATTCTTCTAGTGTGTACATCTCTCTTGAACAATCGTCCAGCCAAACTTTATACTATTTCTGAATTTGACGCTTTCTTGATCATAACTTTATTATATCTGAAGTTAGAATAAAACACCTTCTTCATTTCTTGTTATTGAAATTCGATCTTTAAACGCGATTTGATGTCCATAATTACCGGTAACGTTTGTTTCTTTAGACACAAATGAACTGTTGAACCAGACGGAAATGGTTAATTCTGTTATTAAAAAATCTATTAAAAATGTATCACGTTGCATAGATAAAAATGATACTTTTACATGTATTTTGTTAGCTACAGAACACCATAGAGGTCTCCGTCGAATGGTCAACGCTGCTTCGAATTTAGGAGGTCTTGAGCTCAAATTTCGGCCTGGAAATAACATTTTTGTGGCTTCCCTCCGCTTCTCCAATCAAATGCCCGGATAGTATCTTAAATTAAGCCACAATAACCGCTTCCTTCCACACCCTTTCCAATTCACCGCTCATGAATAATTGACACTATACACTATGGCGAAAACGTCACTACCCATCAGAAAGCGAGTAACTAGGCGTAACCCGGTATGATATGCCCACAATAAATTTTATACTTGGCTTATTTTCTATCATTTACATACTGTTTCATGGATTTAGTTCATTTTAATGAAAGTTTTGCGGTGATAAATAAATTTAAAGTAACATATTGAGACTTTTTGGCAGATGGTGACTTTTGCTTTACTAATATAATTACAGCAACTGACAGCGTCGTTGAAAAACGCTGTGTCGATGTTTAAATAAAAGTTACGGACATGGGCTTATAAGAACGTCGCTTTGATCTGATTCTAAGGCATGAAATTAATTTCGAAATATTTCAGTATGGAACACAATCAATATCTGTTGAATAGGGGTAGTTTTTTAGTCGAGTCATGCTGACAACAAAAATCTCCCCATCATGCCGTCATTTCATGCATTCGCTATAAAAAACGAACAAAAAGTAAGAAATTCATAGAATGTGTTAATTAGCCTATTAATGTAATACGGTTTTAACGAAGTCCTGTTGTTATATTCGTAAGGTATTTCTTCCATGTTTAACAGTCATACAAGCTAAAAGAGATAAAATACCTAAAACTTACGTGGATTAGTTACATTTAATACATTTAATGAATATGACGTTATAGGCTACTCTGTTACTTTCTACTCACCATGAGATTTTCCATTTATCCTTTCGCTGGCGAAGAAGAACTCGTCATTTACGGTGACAAAAAGAAAACACACGAGTTTCAGTACTTAGAGCGATTATAAATGAAGAATTACACTATTCAACGAAATATGCACAGTGATACAGAAAACTTTAAAAAGGTACCCGATTTTTTAGTTTCGTTTAGTGCCAATTCTGTTCAGTTTTTATTTATGAAGTGTCTTCCATCACAATGGAAAAAAACATTGCTGACAATGTTTGAAAATTCATAGGTCTGATCAGTCACGTTAACTTTACTAAGAAGATGCGAATCTGATTTTAGAATCCGTGAATTTTCCTATTTTTATTTTTGCTAACAAACAAGTAGTTGCAAAGCACATCACACTGCAGATTTAGATTAGGGCTAAAGTAATTCTCATTGTAGGACCGGCGTTACGATAAATATTCAGCACATCCAAAATATTTTAAATGTATTTTTAACATTGTAGTGTGTAGACTTGTGGGCCTAAATATATTTTTTATGATGACATTTTCTAAAAAAAGATTAACTGTAAGATTGATATTAGCTTCGTGAGGTTATATATATATATTTTACCAACGCAGACTAAAATGAAAATTTTGATGCTAACCTATAACGGATTAAAATAATTGAATTTTTTTAAATACGTGAGGACGGAGACGGACGTATCCCGATTTTGTGTTTATTTTGTGAATTTTGCACAAGTAACGTATGAAAAGCAATGCTCCTTTCGACAGAGTAATCTAATAAGCACACATAGATACCAGATATCTTTCATGAATACGCTAAATTCGTCTTTGCATTCGCGATTCAGATATTTGGTAGTTTATATGAAGCACATATTTTCACTGGAAGCAGCAAACCTTGAAATTAAATGTAAAGCCTTAGTGTGAGTCCCTTGACTTAGTCTGACCCAGTAACTAAAGATATACACAAAAATCTCCAGACGAAACGAGGCACTTCTATTCTTGACTGACCACAACTTTGAAATGACAGCTTTCAATACAGAAAAGTCTTACATATGTACGCTTACTATACAGAGCAAGTTAGCTAAGCGTGTGGTGTGGGTAAGTGGATGGGTTACGTGATGACCCTACTACATTCTGTCCAGTTAGTCCAGTTTTAGTTGAAACTTGTTTCCATTTGTTTAATTCTCCAAGTATGACCCCCTTCGTCCTTTCATCTTACCTTAAAACTTGTTTCACAATCCTACAAAATCATATGGCCAACGGGCATTCAGTTCCTACAGAGGGAACCCTGGACATTTCATTGTTTGTAAATTTAAAAAAAAAAACAATAAGGGGAGAATTATGGAAGCTTCTATCGTTATTTACGCTGAAATAAAATTTTATGTTTGTGTCCTACATAAAATTATAAATTTAAATACAGATTACATTTTAACCGTATTACCATGTATAGCAGTTGAGTTACAGTTTGACTTGTGGGAAGAAATTAAAAAGTAACTCGGTCTTCATGATAACAAGAACAAAGATTTGTCTCATTAATTACTTCTCTTAAATTCTTTCTGTACTATTATGTTTACGTAAAGTGGAATGTAAGGCGGATATCATAAGCGGTTACAAGTAATAATTCCTTGCATCAGGAAATGTTATTTCTTCTTTTTTAATGAAAAGCAGCTTCAACAAACCATTAAGAAGTAGGTGGGGCATGGAAATAAACCTAATATTCTAGAATTTGGTTTAGGTTCATGAGCAGTTTTACTATGCAGCATATAATATTTTATATATTAATAATGCATATGAAATGTATTTTCATGACAAATACAGATTTTAATACATTATCCTATTATTGTTTTGAAACCCCCTCCTCATAGGCGTTGCAGTGTGCTCGTAGATTTATGAAATTTTACCCTGACTCGTCTGATTTAAGAAACAGTTATACAGGTGATCACGGCTGAAGATGGCGATTGTATGTTCCTCCGAAACGTCGGTATCCACTCTCAAGTCTACTCGACGTCGTAATCTTTGTCGCCGTGAGAACATCAGATCTCATATGACCCTTATGAAAGCTTTCTTTTTATTTAAACAGAAAACTTGTCCTGTTCCCACAAGTCCTGAAGGGCCCTCGGGCAACCCTGACCAGTACCGGACCTAACCGGACACAAACCCTTCCTTCGTGTTAAGTGACAACCAGTTTCTCCCCTCTGATTCCAGCCAAAAGATTCATTTCTCAATATTGTTTTCATGGCCGTGCACAGCATAGCGTCGGGCTGTTATTGTGTTAGGCCAGTACATTTTACTCCTGTACTACGCATGTTTGGTGGACGGAGTTCACTTCGGTATATAATTATGTGGAAATGTTTAAACTTTGTTAGAATATAGCCAAAACTGACCCTAAACCAAACCGACGAATTATACGTCCACGAAAAGTGCTAGACCAAAATAGGCTAAACATCGTTTGTTGTTTTATTTAAGCAAGGCTTCAAAAGTGGTAAGTAATCGCTGAGTGCTATATACCGGTGAAAACGTATCGATATCTTTTGTCTCGTGGCCAGAATGTAGAACAAAATGAAATAGACCTGTAATAATTACGAATTTTATTCATTAAAAATATTGATGTATTCAATATACACCTAATACCCAAAAATATGTCTGACCAATTAGACAAATTATGAGACAGACTGGGCTGACATAACTTGGTTACTGCATCAAAGAGAATCAAATGCCTTCCAGTCTGGTAGACGTACCTATCAGAATTGACCCAGTTACATCAACTATTCTCCTGCACTAAGTTAGGCCAAGTTGTTCTCAACTTTCCAAGACTTCCTGACTCCCAGGCCTTGGTCACCTCTATATCACACCTCGCCATGAAGTTGAGATTCTAGCCTGTATATTCTAAAACTGAAGAGATTAAGCAGTAATTTTATTGTTAAGGAATGGACATTTCGGGTTTTGTTCCAGGGGCAGTATTTTGTTGTATTTTGGATTGTGTCTTGTGGGTTTTGACTCATCGTAGTCTTCTAGGTAGTAACAAAACTTTTGACGAGACGTCTAGTTCCTCCGAACTGCTGGTAACGACATCAAAACCTAGAAGACCACAATCCTAATTTTCACCACCCTGAGAACCTCAAATCTCAGTTTTATTTATTGGCCTCCACATCCAAACCTTGAGTCCCACCCAACCTCCTGTCTACTGCGTATTAAGCTGCCAGGCTGTCAAGATGATCATTCGCCTTTATCTAGCTAGAAATTAAAAAAGTATGAAACTTTGCATGTGCTACCTCCATACACCATCATTAAATAATGCTTCCTTAAGATTTATATGGAAAGAGAACTGTTTTTATCATTATTTAGCATCTAACGGATTAAATTTAATAGTGTATACAGAACGGGGCGGTGTGTCAATTCTGTATTTGTGAAACGTGTAAGTGTACGAGTGTCAACTTTGTTATGAGTGTGCCCAGATGTCAAATTCTATTAACATTCTTTTCGAAAAACTTTACGAAGTTTATCTGGATTCAGAAACTTAGATTTTTCACATACATGTATGAGTTTGTTCGTATAGTTTCGTCCATTAAATGATTTATTTTCAAAACTGTATAATCGATTTATAACCACAATTTGTGATCACTTAAATAAGGAACAGCTAAGCGTGACACAGGGAATATTTCGATATGAAAATTTATCAAGAAATCAGTTAAATAAGTAGATATATAAAAATTAAATAATGTATAAATAATTAAATATGAAGAAAATAAGGAGAACGAGAGAAAGACAGAAAGAGAAATGAAGCTGGAGAAAAGGAAGAGGACGAAAGGAGAAAGAAATAAACCGAAATACAAATAATGAAAAGAAGAAGTAATGATGTCATAAAAAATAAAAACAGATTACAATGAGAAGAACGAAATAGCAACAAAGTAGGGAAGTAGGGAAAATACCGAGAGGATGGGAGAGGAAAGACAATAAAGAGCTGGAGAAGGAAAAAGTAGGAGTTTCGGAAATAGAAAGACTAATGAGAATCAAGAAAACAAGCAGAGCACTGTAAAATGAGACAAGGAAGCTGATCTTACCTATGAGTCTTCAGATGTTTCGGTGAGCTGGTTTATGCGTCGGACTGGAAGACACTGGAAGGCCAGTAGCCCGTGTCTTGTAGGACATAGGGGCTGGTTAAACCGGCTGTAGGAGTCCTCAGAAGTCCTGATTTTAACAATACATTGGAACAAGTTTGACTGCCGCAAGGGGTTGAAACCCTCCCAAGTAGCCAGTGGTCGCCCGACAAAGCTTGACCTTTGGGGTTCATGGGAGCCACCTTTACTGTATAGTTGTAGCGTCCAGTTTGCCAAATCCAGAGTCCGCTCCAGTTTATTATTGCTTCAACTGAGCGCTAAACTCTGATAGACACGGGCTAATTAGTTTACTACATTCGCCTTTTTATTCCTATCACTGGTAGAACGGCAACGTTCTAAAATTCCACCATTTTGAGACTTTAGACAGCGGGCGTGTCCCTTGGCCTAAATAAATATAGATTATAGTTTTTTATAGCAAAGATCGTTATTTAATTCACTGTTAACTTTTCAAATAACTTTTTTTCTGTTTTGTTCATTTCCGTCCTATTAACACTAACAATCACACTTCAAAATCTGTTTTCGCACTCGATATTTATTGTCCTGCGACCAATCCAAGAGCGTATTTCAGTTTGTAGAACTTTATTTTTAAAACTAAATCAAATTTAGACCAAACTTACAACAATGGTTTTATAAAATCAGGCGACGAAGGTAATTAAAGAATTAATAGCCTTTCCAGGACTCCTGCTTCGTATGCAGAAGATTCCGATTTTAAATCTCAGTACGTAAATCGAAAATTCTGCCTGAGGTTTTCGTGATTTTTATCAATCCTTTCAGGCAAATATTAGAATCTTAAAACAGACTTTGACTGTTTCCATTAATTTGCATTTTAATGTATTGTTTAAAATTAACCGAAGAATAAATCATTACATTTCCAAATTATGAAGTTGTTTATACATTATCTCGGCAACGTGCTATTTATTTTAATATTAATATTAACAATAATTTATAATCGCTAGATTATTAAACTTTTGAAAGAATCACGTGAGAATAATGTACTGTTGTAGTATTGACAGATTCAATTGTCCTCCTTTGGTTAATGAAGGAATATTGACCTTTATTGCTTGTTATGTGGTCTTTTGTCTCAAAGTTTTGCAGAGCGTTAATTCAGTGTGACGCAATGATTGGATGGAATGGTGTCCTGTAGAGAAATTTCCTGTGTCTGGCAATATATTGCCTCTTATCTTCACATTCCAATGAGTTATTGCATGTACCTTAGGGACCTTCAGAGAAAATGACACCCTCAGGGATTTTGTACTTATGACTTGGTATCACATCCTGGTAAAACTGTCTTCCTCTCCTGCTTTCTCCTAAGAATACGGGTTGATTAACTTGAAGATGAAAGACCCAAGAGAAAGGATGGAAGGAACGATGATGCAAATCTTGTCAGGTTCAGTTGGCGTGAATGAAATAAGAGCGGGGTAAAGGGAGGGGAGAAAACTTCTTGAAGAACCGAGACGGCGCGAAGATGGAAATTTCATGACAGGTTCGCATGTAAGAAT